ATTCATGATTTTTATATAAGATATAATCCAATCTAACAGACAAATTAACACTGAATCCTACTAAATTTGTGTCTTATAGTAATAAATAAATAAATTGAATATTATGCTTCAGAGTTTTACAACTTAAAAAATGAATCAACCCATCGCTAATATCAATTATACTTTAAAATATTATTGGGTTAATTTAATTTAATATTTTTTATTCAGTATTTCATATTTATATTGGAGTTGCCCATTCGGATATAGAGCTCTCTATTAAGAATTTTTTTCATATCCAAAACTCAAAATTATGATATTTAATTAAGGAAGGAGAAACACCATTCAATGCACTATATTCTTTGATGGTTATTTTTTGATATTTTTTAATACTAAATTTTTTACTAGGATCAATATTAATTAATGTTGATCAGAATGCTATAGAAATATCTTTTAATATTTGTCAAATAATGATTAATAATTGATTATATTGGGCCCGTATCACGGGCCTTAAGAATCTAGTTAAACACAAAGCACCGAAGCATTATTTGACTATATAACTTGTAGTAGTTTATTTTAGACTAAATTATAAAAGGGTAGGGTTTACTGCCCAAAAGGCGTTTGTTTAGCACAATCCAAATTGACGCCAGGATTGACTCCAAGAATCTGGCAATATCTCTTGTAAAACCCAATTCTATTCTCCATATTTTGATTAGAACCTTTTCCACATTCTATTCCTCCATTAATGATGTTGGTGATTAAACCATAGCCAGAGACACGACCAGCAGACAAATCAGCTCCTGTTGGTCTCCATTTACCAGTAATAACATAATGGGCCGATGGCTTTGGTCTCTGGGCTGTCATCCAGAACCACAAGGCTGTCTTAAATGAAACTACTGGATCATTTGCAACAGCATCTGGATTTCTTAACAAATCAACTCCTATGGCTTTTCCTGCTGGTCCATAGTTGTAGTTGCTGCATATCACAGAATTGATAGTTGAGTTGATTATTTTACAGAGGCGGATTCAGGATCTCAGATCTATAGTTTCAATCTTTAAAGATTTATTGAACTTATCATATAATTTTAAAATTATCATGAGTTATTGAGTTTAGACCTACTATTTGTGTGGAAAGTACTAGGTTCAGATAAATTCATTGTCATGACTTGAAAAATAAAATAGATAACTTGGTACAAAAAATTGTACTTACTAGGATATTTGGATAGGACCTCGACCGAAGTATTTTTTACCAGGAGCACAAGGCCACTGTTGATTTGCAACACAGTAATCTGGTGGGCTACCTCGTTCTTGCTTGAAGCAATATCCCCATGAAAATGGACCATCCGGAGCTGTTTGCCACCCCCCTAATTATCAACATAATTCATACTTTTATATCTCGTGTTTAATTAGTAATAATTGATGTCATACTCGGAAATACATAGTTGTGGATGTAACGTTGTTAAAAAAGTTGTCAATAAGATCTCAAAAGAAAGTGTTCCTCGTTGATTAGTAAAAACGACTTTTATTTGTTCTTGTAAAGAGCTAGTATAGTTGCCAATCAGAAAAGGGATAATTATTTAAGATAATAGTACCGGTAGTTTCAAGAGAAGTTTGAGCCAAAAATGCAGCGATTTCCTTCTTACGAGTGTTGGTGTTTCCAGTAGTTCCAAAAGCACCAAAGGACCTTGCAGCTGTTATAAAAGCATCATAAGTGTAGAATCCTTTGCCATCACAGTTGGCATCGTTGCGATGCAATAGCATTCTCTCAAATATGTCTTTACTAATAAGAGCACCAACATCTTGTGTCAATGCTCCTCTTAGAGACAACACACAAAACAAAACCACTCCCCAAAACATAATTTTGTTCTTGATTAAATTTTTGCCAAGTTGTGTGTGATTATTTGGGAGTGATGGTAAGCTTGCTATTTATAGGGAACAGAGAGTGATGGGGTTAATAGACTTTTCAAAAGAAATTTATGTGTCTGCTTATTCCAACACTTCCACTTAGCTATGAGTGCAGCATTTGCTTATTAAAATCAATTGGATGAAGCATTATGGACAAAGTTGGGAGGAATCCACTTAAGTTAGTCTTGGGTAGGATTTCTTGCTATTAGGCCTATCACATAAATAGGCCCTTTACTTGTCTTTAACTTATATCTATACCCTCCAATTTTGGGTGTGTACAAGTAGATAATTAAACTTGTATAAAATTGAACAAGTAGACACACGCATCCTACGTGACATAATATATGTAAGGCGTCACGTAGGACACAAAATTGTCATGTAGAATGTCTATTTTCCTTTTTAGGTTGTTACAAAAAGAATGACACAATTCATTTAGCTACAAGAATCACAACTTAAAGTGAGAATACAACTACAAAAACAATTCTTGCATTATTTGATTTGATATTAACATGTATATATAAGCTTTTTTTTTGTACTATTTTGTACCAATTAGTCTCATTGTGTATGAATCACAAGTAAAGAAGGTGTGCATATAAAAAATGATTCCAAATATCAGGAACTCCAGGAAGGCACCAATGTATACAATCTGCATAACTACTTGGATTTGCCAATTGTTCTTTGGTCAGAGGATCCCAGTGCTTTCTGTATATTGATGAATGACCTTCCTTTCTATATTCGGAAAGTTGAGTAATGTTGAGCAACTCAACTTTGAAACCACTCTTCTCATTCAGTTTCTTGATGGCCACTTCCACCAATTTCATCATCTCTGGATCTGAATCTGATCCCCAATACTCTCTATTAGAAATCGGCTCTGTTTCATCGTAGCAATTCTGACCATTTGCCTTCCCCCAATCTTCTCCCCTGCCATTTTATGTTTCAAATATATAATTAGTACTCGTATGACTCAATAAACTAATTGAAAGTCAGAAACCAACTAGATGTATATACAATGTATTAAGCCAATATCAAAGAATAAAAGATGATTCATGACATGATCTCATATCACTCGAAGACTTGTTCCTACAAGGAGCTTGACATCAGCTATAACTTATTTATACTTATTTTCTTGGACTTTCCATCCCCATCCTTGGTATCTGTATACAAAAGGAATAAATGATGGAGGCATTTAAAGATGAATTTAACAAATTCTTTCAGAAAGGGTTGTTGAAGCACTAAAGTTGGAAAGGTTCTTCATAAATGAACTCATTTTGTCAAAACAATGAGTCCATTATATTACTTCCAAAATAGCTTTAATTATACCGAGCATTTGCTTAAACAAACCATTAATCTCCTGATCACGCTTAATTAACACTACACTAACTTGAATAGTAAGAGCAAATTTGAGAAATATATTATATACCTGTTGTGAGTAGGTGATAAGCTAACAAAGAAAACTCGAGTCTTGGTGCGATTCACATGAGTATCCAACCAATCTGCCCATGTCTGTAGCCCCAACTCGTATGTACGCAGCATCCCCAAATATTCATACTTTGCATTTGCACTTTCAAAAGATCCCCACCTGAAATTACACAATCTCTATCATAATTAACGAACATCTATCTTGTGCCTAAAATCTTGAAATGAAGAATCATAATTTTCTTATGAATGGACAAAGGTTGCAAAAAGTGTACTCACAGAACCTTCAAATTCAATCTCCACCATAGATATGAATTAAAAACAAGCACATCAGCATCTTTCCAAATTCTGGCATGCTTTTCTATCGAATCGATTCTCACTATGCGCTCGTCCACACGATGATATGATGGATCGTCGCAATTTGATTCAACTAACAATGGTGCCCAGTAGAAATCAATAGTAGCATTGTATTCCTTCATTAATGTAAAAATACAAAAAAAAATACTAATTAGAACTGCAAGCAAAGTTCAAGGAGAAGAACAAGGTAGCGTATCGGAGAAGCAATTTTCGAAACTCACAATAGCTTTAAAGGTGACCAAAGAGCCATTATAGTTAACATATTTGAGATGACTAGGAATTTCTGATTCTAATATGCAGACCATTGAAACCCATTGATTCCTATTGAGTGAATCTCCCACATAAACAACCCTTTTGTTCCTCAACTTCTCCAACATCGCCGTAGCATTAAATCTTTACAAAATCAAGAACTACAATCACATACCCAGAACAGAAAGTAGGATAAAATTGAAGAAAAACTGAATAATACTCTACCTTGGAAGGTCACAATCATTGGGTTGCCATTTCCAGTAGAGATAGTTAAGATTCTTTCTCCCAAACTTCTGACAAGCCATTCCATCATCCATGAACGAACAATTTGTCCCGTTATAAAGAGGGCGAGATTGATTATCAAATACCCATTTACCAGAATAGAAATTACAGCTAGATAACGAGCTTATCTGGGTCTGCTTCTCGACTAACTTTGGAGCTTGACTAATCCCTCTGGACATCGACAAAGCCGTAAGGACTAAAATGGCAGTGATAATCGCAACCAGCAACTGAAAACTTAGCTGAATACCCATTCCCTTGTTCTTTAAACTAGAGCCGAAAAGTACTGGTCTTCCATTCATTTTTCTCTGCTTTTTCAGGCTTTTGCTTTGGATTTGCAGTTCGTTCCTCTTTAAAAATGGTGGGAATTAGTCATGATTGGCGGAGATGAGAATAGCGAGCTCGTCAAAGAAGCAGCCATTAAGCCTGATTATATTGACCCAAATTTGGGACTTATTTGGAACAGGTGCTTTTTCTATCTGCAGCAATAACAAATACCGTACTTTTTATTTATTTACTTCTGTTCGATAATCTTATAGAAATTCCGTATTAGTAAATTTAAGTTGTTCATGAATTCAAGTAATCATTCAATTAAGTTAGAAAGATTCTCCAAAACTATTTTATTTTTAGATCTTAATACCATAATTTTTTAATTAAATTACGATAAACTAGGAGTATTATTTTAATACTTAAATTTAAAAGTTCACATCAATCAACATGCTTTTGAACTTTACTGAAAGCGTAAGTAGCTCTCCAATTTACATATTTGTGTAAATTGTTAATGACGAGTGACGTGGCAATAATCAAGTTGTAGAAGAAGCAGGCAAGGGCAAAACTGTCTTTGTATATTAAAGTTATTTAGGATCAATTGCTAAAAGAAGTTATCTAGTTAATTAGAGTCCTAAATGTAGTCAAGCTACTAATTACCCTAGATAGTATCTCATCACACCTATAATTACCTAATGTGTAGTGATGTATTAAGTAGAACAATTAGCGTTCTTGTTCCTATTAATGAGGGTTATTTTCATCGATCTCAATTGATGATTACTTAAACGGAATGATTCTCCACTTGTAATTTTCTTCTCCATTCCCTCTTTTTCCCTTTTAATGATTTTCGATTTGAAGTTTGAACAAATGCACATTTCAGATCTCTACGTTTGGCAAAGTCCTAAATATACTATTCACTAGTCACGTACGGCTGCTAATTAATTTAGAAAGGCTCTTTGAATTTATCAAAAGGTCTTACTTATGCATTTGAAATATTTAGAGAAATAATAATAGTTGTATGATTTTCTTAGGTAATTATCAAATTTTGGATGAATTGATAACCATTCATTTAAGTGCCTGATAATAATTAATAAATTTTCTTATAATTAATTGTTTAGGACTATATAACCTATCAAATATAATATCTTATAAACAAATTTTGACAAAGTTTCTTATAAGTCAACGTGAACTACAAGCTAACTAGATGAATCAAACGAGTCATTTATACGGCAAAGGGCCAAATATACCCCTGTACTATAAGAAATAGTTTAAATATATCCCTAGTTATATTTTTGGGCTAAATTTACCCTTATGACTAACAAATGACACATGTACGACTGAGATTAAATGAACAATTCAATTTAAAATAAATTAAATTTGGATATAACCCGCCCCGCCCCAATAACTTAACCCGACCTAATATGTAACATTAACCCACCCAATTTGTCTTTCAAACAAGAAAACTTAATGGACAATTGAGTTCTTGCTATCTAGCAACGTCTGCACCTTGGAGCCTCTGCATCGCAAACACTCCTTCAATTGCCAATTTCTCTGTGGCTATATCTTCAGACTAAATTTGTAACTACTTTGAGATAGTGTGCTGCCACATATGGATGGAGCTACTGCTAGTACGTTGCCATTTTTTAGCCAAACTCTTGCTACATTTTTTGGAGTTAATATCTCAAAAGTCACTCAACTTTAAGAATTTATCTATTAAAGTCATTAAACTTTGTTTTGTATCAATAAAATCACTAAACTTGGACCTTTCTATCAATAAAATCACTCAATCAAATTTATCATTAAAAAAAATAATATTGACATAGCAAAATAAATTATTATTTTTATGCCATATAAACATGGACCCACGAATAAATGAAATTAAAGAAAACTTATTTAAAAAAGTTCGGACAAACTTAATCATGGAAACAAATATTTTTTAATTATATTATTGTATAATTTATGTCATGATTTAATAAATAAATGAATTATTTTTTCTTAGTGAAACATATTTTGGTATTACTGTAATACCATAATATTTAGTTTGCCTCCTAAACAAGAAATGAGTTTAAGTATTTAAGCAAAACAACAAATTAAATCCAAAATAGGAAGAAAAACACTAAACAAATATAAAAAATAGAACAAGTATTTATTAATTAAAAAGTTCTTCGGCGTGTAATATATTTAGATGTTTCTTGCTAAATATAATTTGGTAAAGATCTTATTTTTCCTTTGTAATTCCACAGTTTGCTAACGTTGACATATATTTGTTCAAGCTTGAAAAAATTATTTTTTAAATTTTTTGATAAATAAGTTTTGAGATTTAAAATTGTGTTTGGACATACATTTCAATTGATTTTCTTGAAAAAAAAATTGTGAGAGGAAGTGAAAAGTCCTAAATGAGATTTATTTAATTTTATTTAATTGTGGAATTTATATTTACATGATATAAAAATAATAATTTATTTTGCCATGCCAATACTTTTTTAATGATAAAATTGATTGAGTGATTTTATTGATAGAAAGGTCTAAGTTTAGTGATTTTAATGATACAAAACAAAGTTCAGTGACTTTGCTAGACTTTGCTAGATAAATTATCAAAGTTGAGTGACCTTTTGAGATATTAACTCCATTTTTTGCCATTTGTTAATATATTTTGAGGTGAAATATTGATACTCCACTGGCCTCAGGTTCCCTTGATACTCCTCATCTATTTCGAGTTTTTTGAGAACTCGTCTTGCCAAGAGAAGTCTGGTACGATATGCAGCATCATAAGTTTGGAGTGTTGTACTTGTTTTTTGTCCAGATTAGTTAGTTTGAAGTAAAGAAATTGGCAATTGAAGGAGTGTTTGCGATGCAGAGGCTCCAAGTTGTAGACATTGCTGGAGAGCAAGAACTAAATTGTCCATTAAGTTTTCTTGTTTGAAAGACAAATTGGGTAGGTTAATGTTACATATTAGGTTGGGTTAAGTTATTGGGGCGGGGCGGGTTATATCCGAAGTTGATTTATTTTAAATTAAATAGTTCATTTAATCTCAGTTGTCCACGTGCCCTCTGTTAGTCACAAGGGTATATTTAGTCCAAAAGTATAACGGGAGGGATATATTTAACCCGAAAGTATAACTAAGGGTATATTTAAACTATTTCCTATAGTAGAGGGGTATATTTGGCCCTTTGCCGTCATTTATATTGCCCAAACTTGAACAAATTGGACGGATCATGATTTTACTATGCTAATTTTGCCTCCCCTGCCCTTGTCATTAATCTTCACTGTTCAAATCTTTGACATGATAAGAAAATCGACCTCTTTAAAAGAACAAATGAATCCAATCACATTCTTACTATTTCTGTAAGAACTGAGTCTCATTCTGGATGGGTCACAAGTAAAGAAGGTATACATACAAGAAATGATTCCAAACATCAGGAACTCCAGGAAGACACCAATGTGTACAATCTGCATAACTACTAGGATTTTCCAATTGTTCTTTGGTTAGAGGATCCCAATGCTTTCTGTAAATGGATGGATGTGCTTCTTTTCTATATTCAGAAAGTTGGGTAATGTTGAGCAAATCTGCTTTGACACCACTCTTTTCATTCAGTTTCTTGATGGCTGCTTCCACCAATCTCATCATTCCCGGAGATGATTCCGATCCCCAGTACTCTGCATTAGAAATTGGTTCTGTTTCATTGTAGCAATTCTCACCCTCTGCCTTCCCCCACTCTTCTCCCCTGCCATTATATCAAACAACGGTTCTTTGCTTTACATACTTGATTTTTGATATGTTTTACTTGAGTCGAGGGTATCGAAAACAACATATTCTTTGTGTGCACTCCACCCTTCTCAGACCCTACTTATGGAATTACACTAAATAATATGAGTGCTTTTGCAGAATATCTTGACTCCAAACAGATCTAGCAAAAGATAGATACTAGTAGAAGTTGAAAAAGCGTACAAGTGATACCAACTAGTAGAAGACTAGTGCCTACTAGAGTATATGAGAGAACCCCTAATGTTTAGAAAATTCTTTAATACAGAGTAATGAAACACTATGGACCCAAGGGAAGCATATGTTATTGAGGTTTCATACAACCGACCCTACTAATTGTATTTGAGGAGTAGTAGTAACTGGTGTTGTTATAGCATGTTCAATGTAGGGACAAATGTGGAGAGTCAATTACGGTTCACATGAACTCAATAACTTTTATCTAGTTCTTGTATACATATTAAGAAATTACTACTAAATATCTATAAATATTTGATGCTGACCTAATTATTGTTATATGATTAACTTGAGATCATTATACCAACTCATAAACTTCAAATCTGAATCCGCTTCTCGTTAAACTGTGCAATTAGAAAAACTTGAAGTGGTGAATTATATACCTGCTGTGCGTGGGCGACATGCTAACAAAGAATACTCTTGTTTTGGTGCGGTTGACATGAGTGTCCAACCAATCTGCCCATATCTGTAGACCCAACTCGTATGTACGCAGCATCCCTAATTGTTCATACTTTGCATCTGCACTTTCAAACGAACCCCACCTGAAATTGCACAAATCACTGTCATATTCAATGGACATTTTATTCCCAAAATCTTGAAATTTAGTACAACTTCTTATGATTGATTTAATGTCGCAAGGTATATGTTTACTCACAGAACAGTCAAATCCAGTCGCCACCATAAATAGGAATTAAAAACAAGCACATCAGCATCTTCCCAAAATCTAGCATGTTTCTCTATTGAATCAACTCTCAATACACGATCCTTCACACGATGATGCCAGGCATCGTCACAATTCGATTCCACCAACAATGGTGCCCAGTAAAAATCAATAGTAGCATTGTATTCCTTCACCAATATAATGTTGGAAACAAGATCTAAGTCCATAACTTCAATAACCAAAGAGCAAACACATAATAATGGTTGAAACTCACAATAGCTTTTAATGTGACCAATGAACCATTGAAGTGAACTTGTTTGAGATGGGTATGGATTGATGACTCTAGCATGCACACAAGTGAAACCCATTGATTCCTATTGAGTGAATCACCCACATAAACAAGCCTCTTGTTCCTCAACTTCTCCAGCATCGCTGTGGCATTAAATCTTATCCAAAATCATAAATACCCAGAACCCAAATGAAGAAAAACAGAAGAAAAAGAGAAAAATTCTACTATACCTTGGGAGGTCACAGTCATGAGGTTGCCATTTCCAATAGAGATAATCAAGGTCTTTTCTCCCGTAATTTTGACAAGCCATTCCATCATCCAAAAACGAAATGAAGGAACAATTGGACCCATTATAAAGAGGGTGAGATTGGTTATCGAATACCCATTTACCAGAAAAGAAATTGCATCTGGATAATGAGTTCAACTGGATCTTTTCCCCAATTTCCTTGGGCCTAATGGTTCTTGACATGGACAAAGTTGTGATAACTAAAACCGCAGTGATAAGTGCTACCAGCAGCTGAATTGTTAGCTGAATACCCATTACCTTGTTATTCCAACTACTCCAGAATAGTAATGGTCTCCCATTCATTTTTTCTGTTTTCAATTTGTTGAAATATGCCATCATTTAAACATGTTCTAGTTACAAATAACAGCAACAACATATTAATATGTCATAGTATAGGAAGAAAATAACAGTAACAACAACAAATAATATGATAAACGAATAAAAAAGAACAAGTATAATTATAATAATACTGATAAGGAAAACGACGTTTAACTACCTACTAACCTTTTGTCTTGATCTTCAACTTCAATATCTTTCTATTGTCACTATTAATTTGAACATGTTCATACTTATTAGGATTGTAAATAAATAAAATAATACACTACTACATCTTTATGGAATCTTTTTTTTTCACTTAAAATAATCCTTAAATTTCAACCTTATTAATACTAAACTATTGAATTATTACAATTAGAAGCTGAGTAATAAATTTAATTAAAAATGAAGCACATGTGCAAGATTGAAAGGTGACAAAGGCTTTGGATATTTAAAAAGAGAAATTAGCTGTCGATGTGGATATATGTGTGTCGTATTAATGGCCAATCAACAACTCGTCAGAATGCCTACCAACCATACTGGTATCTTCAATCTGGGAAATTATTCTATTTATTCTTTACTCAAAAGTTCACTGCCTTTTGTGGAACTACCAGTCTACCACTAAAAGTCTGAAAGAATAAACACTTTAACCCTCTAAATACACTCATGTAGCCAGTTGAATTACTAATATACTAATGCAAATTGGTCGACAAATTGCTTAATTTACACTTCAATTTACATTGTCTGTACAAAGTGCTTACCCGAAAAGCAAAAATTGTGACAAAAGTTATAGCGGTTACAAGTTATCATTGCTTCAAAAAAAAAAATCTTTTAAAGACAAGATGATAATAAAAAAAATTCTAGTAAAAATGCTACACACTCTTTTGTTCAATTTATTTTTTATCTTACTTGTAAATTGATCAAATTAACACGTGCCGAATTATTTATCCGCCATAGTAATGACCGCGTAACTTTGAGATCTATTTTTTTTAATTATTACTCCTTTTGTTTTTTTTTAATTGTTCAATTTTAACTTTTTATTTATCCCTTTTTACTTGTCATTTTTGACAAATCAAGATAAAACAATATTTTTTTTACCTATTATACCCTTAATTTATTTAGAGAGTTAATGTTTTTGAAAAAGATAAAACATAAGGAGTAAATTGATTTTGGAATTCTATCAATTAATAGGGGTAAAATGATAAATTCACTATGTCAATTATTATTTTCTTAATAAGTGTGTCAAATAAAAAATGGACAAGTAAATAGGGATAGAGAGAGTATTATTGTAAATATATTTGAACATTCAAATATTTTGATTGTAAATAACAAGCATGTGTCATTCACATATACTAGTAGTTATTTCGAGCAGTTATGGCCTTCATATTTTGTCTACAAATTAGAGAACATCCAAAGCAATTCAAACCTTTTTTTAGATTTTAAAGTTTAGCTTTTTGAGCTGAGAAAAGCAAGAAGTATATAAACAAGAAACTCTTATTTCTGAAGACAAAATAAGAAACTACATATCTCCTTATTCCATTCTAAATGGGCATCCAGAATCCCTTTTATTCAGACATAACTTTATATACTGTCATCACCATGACTAAAACATAAGCCTAGGCCTCAGCAAAGTTCCTCTGGGTGTAGCAATCAAGGTTGTCCCCAGGAGCAACATTCAATATGGTACAATACCTTCTATAAAATCCAATCCGATCTTCCACTTGTGGATTCTGTCCTTTGCCACATTCAATTCCACCGTTAATTATGTTTGTAATGACACCGTAGCCTGGTTGTCGATTTGCTGATGTATCGGCTGCTGATGGCGTCCATTGCCCTGTGATAACGTCGTGGCATGATGGCTTATTGCCTTGTGCCGTCATCCAGAACCATATTGCTGTTTTAAAAGATACAGTTGCATCTGTGGCTACTAAGTCAGGGTTGTTAACTAGGTCTTGTCCAATTGCTTGCCCAGCTAAGTCATAGTTAGATTGCCTGCAAAATTCATTTTATCATCAATAAATTAGTTACATATTGTGTTTTTTTCATCTAAGATTTCCTAGTTATGACATGAAGTATTTTCCTCTGTTTTACGTACCCTGTCAATTGGATAGGTCCTCTGCCATAAAATCCACTTCCCACTTGGTTGCCTTCCCTAAGAAAGCAATATCCTCCGGCAAATGGACCATCTGCACTTAGGCTACCACCTGCAAAATTAGACCCAAATACTTCACTTATTATTCTAGTGTATATAACGTAAATCCATTTCTTAACTAGACACTTGTGTTACAATCAGGGGCAGATCTATGTACAATTATGTTAATATTGGAACCAAGCTACTGTTCAAAGCGTATGGCACCTAGAACCTCAAAATCCTGGATACACCTCTGATTACAATTAACGGTCAATCTAATTTTGTATACTTATATGTTGAACAAATAACAGTAGTTAGGTGGAAGAGCCAAAATTACCAGTAGTTTCGTGAGAAGTTTGACCGAAAAAGGCAGCAATTTCCTTCTTACGGGCAGTATCATCACCAGTAGTACCAAAACCTGAAAACGAATTGGCTGCACCTATGAATGCATCATAAGTGTAGAAGCCCTTGGCAGGGCATCTATCATCGTTTCGATTCTTGAGCATCTCGTTGAACAAGTCACTTGTCACAATTGTACCAACATCTTGTGCCAAGCTTCCTGTTAGGAACAACCAAAAGACACAACATAATACCATTTGTGATCCCAAAAACTCCATTTTTTGTTTCTCTCTGTTCTTTCTTATGCTTTATGAGCTAGTGTTTACTGAATTAGTTATGTATATAGGTGGGTATTTATAGAGATCAAATTTAAGGTGAGCATACACTTTTCCACTGATTTCAACAAAATTGTAGTAGTTTGCTTCTTTGTTTCGGTCATGTACGTGTGTCATCATAAATGGCCGAAACAAACTTAGATACACAATTTTCTTTCACCTATAGTAACCTAGAAGAGGTATTGTGATTCAGTTAATTATGTACTAGTCTAATTAGTTAGTTAGTCTTGTCAGATTAATTAGTCACGATAGTTAGTTTACTGTTAGTGTTCCGTTAATATGTCAGTTCAATTGTTAGTTAGATTTAGTGTTCCTTCATTGTATAAATATATGTTCTTCTCATAATGAAAATCAGTTAAGAGATTTTTCCCAAATTGCTCTCTTCTTCTCCAACATTTCTTTCTCACGTATTGCATCCATGGATGGTGCTTAGCCATGGTCTGTGGAGTATTATTGACAAGAGGTAGATACGAAAATAATATGAGTTAATTGAACTATCAGAATTTATACTTTACAAGATAAATTCCCGTTTAATGATTTTTTAAGATATTAACTCAAAAAAATATATATCAAAATTACAATCAAATATTGGTGGTGACTTAGTGGTGAAATTAAAGTGAGTTTATCTTGTAAACCAAAATCTACTGAATCCCTATTTGTTACAAATTGTCGAGTTCTGGAATATCAAAGTTGGCTACGTAATGAAGTCGGTACAAGACTTTTCAAATTGAAGTAAATTCTAGTATACGTCAAGTTTTTTTTTTCCTTCATCGATAAAAGTCAAGTCTTGGGAGCTATATTTTCCGCGCACATTCAAGTGAAAACCATTACCTATAGTGGTTTCAAATAAACGAGTTGAGCTGAATTTTGTCAATGCTAATTTGGAACATAGTCATAAAATTTGGGTTGCATGAATAGGAAAAAATAGTTTAAAGGGAAAAGGGTCAAATATTCCCCTAAACTATTCGAAAAGGTCTAGATATAACCCCCCCCCCTCCCCCATTTAAAGTTTGGCTCACTCATTTCTTCGTCGTCCAACTTTTCGCATAGATATGACCTTATGTGCGTTAGTTGGTCTGCTGGACATATCTAGCTTATTTTCAATTTCTTTAAATGTCACATGGAATTGTCATGTCATTTTGACTTTACCACATGACATTTATATGAAAATGGAAAGGGATCAATTATGCCCCTAAAAAATTCGGACCCATAAACACCTAATCCAACCCATAAATCAACCCCTCTTTTAAATAAACTACCTACCCGTTTTCAACAATTTTGTTTAAATTTTTATTTTTTTCGATAAATCCCGAAAATGAGTAATTGATTAATAAAAAATAGGAATTTGAAAAAAAATAATATAAAATTAACACCAAAAATTCACAAATAAATATTGTAACTTTAATTCAACAATTTCAAAAAATTTATAAAATTTTTATTTTTTTTGGTACATCCCGAAAATGAGTAATTGATTAATAAAATATATGAAAAGTATGAAAAAAATATAACATTAATGCAAAAAAATCACAAATAAATACAGTAACCTTAAATTCAACAATTTCAACAATTTTTTTAAATTTTTTTTTCCATCGGTAAATCCCGAAAATGAGTAATTGATTAATAAAAAATATGAAAAAAAATATAAAATTAACGCCAAAAATTCAAAAATAAATATTGTAACCTTAAATTCAAAAATTTCAATAAATTTTTTTTAATTTTTATTTTTTTCGGTAAATCTCGAAAATGAGTAATGATTAATAAAAAATAAGAAAAATATGAAAAAAATATAAAATTAAAAAAAAATTGAATTCAAGATTAGTATATTTATTTGTGAATTTTGGCGTTAATTTTATATATTTTTTCATATTTTTAATTAATCAATTACTCATTTTCGGGATTTACCAAAAAAAATAAAAAAATAAAAAAATTGTTGAAATGGTTGAATTTGAGGTTACTATATTTATTTGTGAATTTTTGAAGTAAATTTTATATATTTTTTTCATATTTTTCCTTTTTTATTAATAAATTACTCATTTTGGGATTTACCGAAAAAAATAAAAATTAAAAGAAACTGTTAAATTTAAGGTTACTATATTTATTTGTGAATTTTTGGCGTTAAATTTTATATTTTTCTCATACTTTTCATATTTTTATTAATCAATTACTCATTTTCAGGATTTTACCGAAAAAATAAAAATTTAAAAAATTATTGAAATTGTTGAATTTAAGGTTAATATATTTATTTCTAAATTGTTGGCGTTAAGTTTATGTTTTTTCATATTTTTTCTATTTTTTATTAATCAATTAGTCATTTTCGGGATTTATCGAAAAAAATAAAAATTAAACAAAATTGTTGAAAACGGGTCGGATAGTTTATTTAAAAGAGGGTTGATTTATGGGTTGGATTAGGTGTATGAGTCCGAATTTTTTAGGGGCATAATTGATCATTTCCATTTTCATATAAATGCATGTGGTAAGGTGAAAATGACATGACAATTCTATGTAACATTTAAAGAAATGAAAAATGAGTTGGATATGTCCAACAGACCAACTAACGCCCATAAGGGCATATCTATTCGAAAAGTTGGACGGCGAGGACATGAGTGAGCCAAACTTTAAACGGAGGGTATATCTAGACCTTTTCGAATAATTTAGGGGCATATTTGACCATTTCCCCTTTAATTTAACAGAAATAGTAAAGATAGTCATGAATTGACAAATTTAATTTTCATCGACATGAATTGTGGTGAAATAATTAAAATTCATGCATCTTTAATCAAAGGTCAAAAACTCATGTTAGGAGCTTTTCTAAACATTGCAATATACAAATACAAATTTAGTTAGATCTCAATGTGAATACTAAAAAAACAAAAATTGATCCAGTTTTTCCCCTGATTAATTAGTCAAATGAATTGATCTTTCCTTCAAGATTAAGTCATAACCATTTCCCTCTCCTTCGTAGGCCTCCATATTTTCGTACTTTGTTTTGTCTTATTTAACTTTTATAGAGTCTAATTTATAGCTTCTTGATCACAGAAGTCCTTGCATAATTTATTCTCTTTTTTTGTATGTATTAGAAAATATTGGTTTTTACCTATCCGATATGGGTGCCCAATTATTTTAAATAGGATATGTCGCAGTTGCTAATTTTTTCCTTGATCTAACATCACTTGGTTTGACCCTGAACAATTCTTATAACATGACAGAAATGATCAACGTTAAGAATAAGATTCAAAGCTGGAATCCATGAGGTTTGACCATGACTGGAGTTGAATTCGGGAAAACATATTTAGTCGTCAATCAACTTAATTTGAAAATAAAATAAAAGTGTTTTCATTTTTTTTCACTCCAAATTACTCATCAAAACTAAAAAAGAACTACTTCAATTTTCAAAATAATATTTCACTTTTAAAATAAATTATTTTCAAAAAAAAAATTCACAATAATATATGATCAAACGCCCACTAAATCTACAACATAAATCATATAACTTTTATTTTTCTTAAATGCAGCAGCCTCACTCAAGCACCACATATTATGTAGGATATGTGGTCCTTTAATTTTTAAGAAGACAAATATATCTCCCTATTCTAAATGGGCACAGAGAATCCCTTTATTCATTACATCCAAATATAACTTATAGACTGAACAATCTCCATGAGTAATAGTAATACATAACATAATTTGCATTCTATATATGTAACGACGCTTAGCCCTGGGCGAAGTTCCTTTGATTGTTGCAGTCCAAGTTTTCACCAGTGGGAACATTCAGCATACCACAATACCTCCTGTAAAATCCAATTCGACTATCCACTGCAGTATTCTGACCCATCCCACATTCAAGTCCACCGTTAATGATGTTGGTAATGACACCGTACCCTGGCACTCTATTAGCTGCCGTATCTGCGGCGGATGGCGTCCATTGCCCAATGATAACGTTGTGGCATGATGGCTTATTATCCTGTGCTGTCATCCAGAACCATATTGCTGTTTTGAATGATATTATAGGATCTGTGGCTACTAAATCAGGGTTGTTCACTAGGTCTTGTCCAACACCAATACCTTGTCCAGCTCGTTCGTAGTTAGATTGGCTGCACAAAAATAATGTTATCATTGATTTCAAAATTAATCACGGTGACATTTTAACTGTTGATATTCTATTCAATTGTCTTACTGTGTCAATTGGATAGGTCCTCTGCCATAGTATCTTTCTGACTGATCTATTTGCCTGACAAAGCAATATCCTCCAGTAAATGTTCCTGCACTACCACCTGCAAAAGAGCGAATTATAGAATTCAATTGTTACATAATCAGGTCACCTAAAATGTACATTATTAAATTACAACGATAAGAAGGATGACCCAAATTACCATTAGTTTCATGAGAAGTTTGACCGAAAAAGGCAGCCATTTCCTTCTTACGGGCGGTATCATCACCAGTAGTACCAAAAGCTGGAAAGGAGTTAGCTGCAGCTATGAATGCATCATAAGTGTAGAATCCTTTGCCAGGACATACATCACTGTTCCTAAAACTCAACATTTGTTCGAATAATTCCCTCGTTACAATTGAACCAGCATTTTGTGCTAAAGTTTCTCTTAGGAACAAGAAAAAGAGACAAGAGAGTGCAACTGGTGATACATTGAACTTCATTTTTCCTCTGTTTTTTACTTATGTTTTTTATGAGTGTTTAGTTATGTGTGTGGGTACTTATATTGATTAGTTTAAGACTTTTCCACTAACAATGTTAAATGATACTTTGTACAAATATGACTATTTTCCACAGAAATGTAGTTATCAAGTTTGCTTCTTTTTTGGGTCATTGACGTGTGTCATCATAAATGGCCGATACACTGAAGAAAAATCGCAGGGGAATAGATACGAAATTGTCATGAAGACGTGAACTGCCTAACATGGAGTAAATCAAATCTAACTTTACTTGTCCCTTCGGGGATATTTGATAAGATTGGAACGATACAGAAAAGGTTATCATAACCCACACAAAGGATAAAAAAATCTGATTTTAGTTTTTCTCTTATTCATCGGCATAATAAAATAGGAAAATTTATTGAAAAGTGTGGAGTCCAACACGTTGATATGGTTAATAGGACACAATTTATCTTTTGTAATCAAGTGTAGTAAATAAT